ACAGTTTGTCACAGCCCCTCGTTTGTTGTCCTCTTCTCTCTCTCTGCCTACGGTTTTACCGGGCAGTTCTGTTTGTGACGATATATATATATGTGACGATATATATATATATATATATATATGTGACGATATATATATTATTGTGACGATATATTATATATATTATAGATGTGACAATGTATAAACAGGTGCTGTGTTCGGATCCAGATGAACAACATTCCTGAATTTCCTGCGGCCAGTCAGTTTCACGATGATATCTCAACGCTGTCGCCCTTATTAAAAAAGAAAACGAGAAGAAAAGGAAGAAGGAAAAAAGAAAGTACGAAATTCAATGGCATCTTGTCAGGTCGCTTTTCTTAAGAGAAGGAAAGAAAAAGAAAAGGAAGAAGGGAAAAAGAAAGTACAAAATTCAATGGCATCTTGCCAGGTCTGATTTCGTATCTCAAATGCGTTGTCTGTCATGTGTGTCAGATGTTGGGGGCAGGGATGTCGCACAAGATCTGGGAGTCGCTGATCGACCATGCGCAGACGTGTGTGCTAAGTGGGAAGCTGTGCGTTTATGACCCGGACCAGAAGAAGCAGACATGCCTTGTTTTCAACAACATTTACCAATTCCTTGGGATCACAGCAGATGGCCAGTTCATCCCGGCAACGACACTGTCAGATGACGACAAGGTAATGTGCCTTGAAATTCGCGCTAACCATTACCATAGGAATCGACCAACGGGCCTAGCTCAGTTACTAGTGTTGTGTGTTTAATTGATACGCAACTCAAACCGCATTCAAATGTTCCCATACACATCTGCAATGACAGGCAGACTGGAGAGAGCAGATTCACACCATAGCCATGGAGAGATACTGCACAGCGGAAGCCAAAGCCAGATATAAAAATTGAGAGAAATGTTTCAAATTTCAATCAATTATTTAGTACACCCCCTGCTCTCCTTTTGTCAACCGAACAACTCCAAGAATCTCAACCATGAAATCTGTTACACCTCCAATTAACCCCCGACCATACACTTAAAACGAAGCTTCCTGGAAAAGAAACCCCCCCCGGGAGAGAAAGATGAGCAAAGCAAAACTGAGAGTGGGAGACCGGGCCCTGTACGTTCTGGGCAGCTTCAGAAAAAGAATCACACGGGTCAGAAAAGCCGGGGAGTGAAGGGAACCACAGAGCAAGTGGAACATGACAACAGATTTGCCTTGTTGGACAGAGAGGAAGGGAGTTCGGAGAGGGGGGAGGGGAGGGTAAAGGGCGACAGGCCCCAAAAGGAACAGACGACCCTCATGCAGGAGAAAATCGGTCAGGGACAAAATACTCAACACCCACCCAACGCACCCACGGACCCATATGAAGGGGCGCTAGGGGTCTCAGTGCAGGGGAACAACAATCCTGTGAGCCTGGAACTGGTGCAAAGCCCGAGCATTTCAATAAGGCCGATCTCTGACTGGATTATGTCAGGCCTGAAATCACTGTACACCTAGGCCCCGACAGACTTCTGGGCTCAAGCTCACATGCAGCTAAATGGGGCCTTGGGGAACAGCCGGCAGGTCAGAACAATCCTGGAGCAGGGCCTCCCGGAACACGTACAATGCGGGGAGGTAATGCAACGTCTGTTCAAAATCTCGGCTGCACATTTCAGCGCCCCGACCAACCCGGCCCGGGAGCAGCAACCCACAATCAGCGAGCAAAGGCAACCCGCCACTGCAGAGGATACACAAGGGACACGCTTGTTAAACGGGGGGGAAGGAAGCCACGGAATGGAGCAGCAGAGGGAAACGGCGGGGGAGAGGAAAACTGCAGACCAAGAGATTCACGGAACTGTAGGAGGGGACCACGTGGAGCAGGGGGACCACACGGACACGGTGATGATAGACCAGTTGGAAGAGGCCTTTGGTCCCCAACCCATGGAAATCGAGGACCCCTCCTCGCTTCCCCCCCCCCCGGAGGTGGCAATGACGGAAGCTAATCATCAGGGCGATATGGGAGCGCCCCCGGAGGATATGGATATCGAACAAAAGTTACAAAGAATAGCGGAATGGCTGATAGAGGGCTTCCGAGCTCAGCACCCAGAGGCCTCCCAAGAGTTCTGGGACTGTACGTACGTTCAACTCTTCGCCTTGCTGGACAGGAGCCCAACGCTGCACAAAGCCCTGCAAGAGGGCCCGCCCCCACACATATCCTGGCCGGAAATATTCCAGAGAATTCGTCACCTTGCGGCTCTTCAACTTCGCCCCCCACCTCCCCCTCAGCCTCCACCGGACCCGCCAGGGAAAGGTCACACAGCAACCTAGACTAGTCACACTCCCGACCCGCCAAGATATAAAAAGCTCAGGCACATGGTGTCCGGGGGCCAATATGAGAGACCCCTACAGCAAAAAGATGGGGTAGCGGTCATCCCGCTGAGGCAGGATGGGGACAGGATGGAAGTGGGGCTTTCTCCTGTGCAAGGGGGGGTGACACTGCCAGGCCTGGCTTGAGGGATAGTGACTTTAGGAAAAAAGCGGAACCTTTCGTGATACGACATTATCCGGTAGGCATCCGGGCAATCCTACCGTTGTTCGAAGGGGTGATCAGAATAGCCAACACGGACCTGTATGTCCTCTTTGAGGACGACAAGGAGTCAAATCTGAAATGGTTCAACCACAGTGCCCTCATGGATCTCCCTCTGCAGCAGATAAAAGCTAACTCCTTTTGGGTTGAAGAGGATATACATACCTGCCTCTCAAGGATTCTCAGGTACGGGTTGTTGTGCACAGTGAATTGGTCCGACCGCCCATGGGAGGGTGTCTGATCCCGGGGAAAGAAATAAGAGGCCTAAATGAACGACATTGATATACTGTACTGCAGGAACCCCCAGTGGAAGAGTTGCCTCCAAAATGCAAACCTTGATCTGAGGACCATAAACGTGAACGGCCTATCCTCCTTCAACCCATCAAAACAGCAAGCAATATGGGAACAATTGAGAGGCGTGGGAGGAAGGACATGGTCGGACATCATTTGTGTGCAGGAAACTCACCTGATGGACAAGCCTGAGCACTACAGGGCCCACAAAAGCGTCTGGCCACACCAGGCCTTCAGGGCGCATGCGGTAACCCCGGGATCAGCAGGGGTGGTGATCTGGGTTCCGCCGGGGTCCCGTCTAGAGGTGGTACACTGGGTGGTTGATGAAGAGCAGGGGAGGTGGGTATCGATCCTCGGGATGTTGGAGCTAGAACTAATTTGCATTTTCTGTGTTTATGCTCCCAATACAACGGTCGAAAAAGGTTGTCTGTTCACACACCTTAAAGCCCAGGTCCCCCAAGGGGTACTGCTTATTTTTGCAGGAGACTTTAACGCGGCACCTGACAGATGGATGATTAGGTGGAACACCCCAACCCCGTGCCCAAACTACGGGGAGGAGGACGAGACACTGATAGCGGACCTCTGCGGGGCACTGGGATTGGTGGATGCCTACCGATATCTGCATCCAATTGAAAAATCCTTCACCTGTTTTCGCACAAATAACCCAACAAAACACTCAAATGCAAAAAGATATGTTCGATTGTTTCCGCTCTCTTCTTTGTTGGAAAGCCCGATAGGCAGCGTGGGCACCACGACAGGGCCCGACCTTGCTGTTCCAGGTGCGTATGGTCAATGAGCCAGTCATTAGTTGGTAAGCATCGGTGTTGTATCTGCCATTGGAGGGACGTGATCTTCGCGGGTCTGCACTTGGTGTCGCCAAACCAACGAATGGGTGTGAGGAGCTGTCTGTCCACGTTAAGGTGCCTATGCCATCTGTCGATCACGACGTCCTTCAGGCAGCGTTTGATTCTGATTTTTTTGTACGTTGCTTTTACTGTAAGATCTACCAACGCTGTGGAGCCTGACTGCCCCGTTTTTCGGCGTGCTTCATAAGTCCAGATCCACTCCAGCGGGTCTAGTGGGAGGTCCTGAATGGGTAGCTCCGACATGAACGCCCTCCGGTTCTCCCCTTCCCCTATCGTTCTGATCCTGTATAGGGTCACCTTTGGTACCCATTGTAAGGGATCCCGGCTTCCCACAAGCTGTCCCCCTGCTCCTACGCTATGCCATTCTATTAGTGCGTCCCCCATTCGTACTAAGTGGACCGTATCCACTCTATCCGTCCAGCCGTCCTTGGACACCCAGTCCCCTTCTTGTAACGACTGACCTTTACGCAGGATGAGCCTCCACCCCACTGGAAGGGCTTCCGTGATCTCCTCCACTGCCGAGGCTGTATTGTGGCAGTACCTCAAACACTCCTTCATCTCCTCCGGGCCCTTCCAGTCATTCTTCTCCTCGTCCCACAGGTCACGCACGCAGGTTATAATGTTCTTCACCCATCCCTTCCATGGGGTATCTGAGCTGCAGTAGATCTGGCTTTGTTCGTTAGTGATCCAGCGGTTGCCGAACAGGGGTTGTCTTGCCACTTCATCCCATCTGGTTGGGGGCGGACGAGCCGGTGGTGGAAGTCTCCTCCAGGTTTTTAACAGACGGGGCCAGAAGTCGTCTTTTCGCTCCCCTCCCCCCCCTAGGACGACGTGGCACTCTCCAATATCGATCATCTATCCAGAGCAGCGGGTGGACAGTTGGGGGGGGCTCGGGGGCAAGCCGGGCAATCTATTGAAGGGCGAGGGGCCGCCACACCAGGGGGTTGGCAAAGATCAACCTCACTATCCATTGCAAACTAAGGGCCAAGGACTGGGTAAGGGGGTCTAATATGCCTAGCCCCCCTTTCGCTTTAGGTTGGGTCACCGAGTCCCAAGCGACTCTGCTGATGGCGTGGGGGTTCTCGCTGTCGCCTCTCCAGAGGTAGGCTGTCACTTTCCTCTTCATGGATTTCAGAGACCCCTCGCTTAGCGGCCAGAGAACCGACTTATACCAAAGGGACACTAGGACCACATTGTTTATAACCAGCGCGCGACCAAAGAGTGACGTGTTCTGGTGATTCCATTGGGAGAGTTTGGCAAGCGCAACGGCCGAGATCCATTTATCATTCTCCACAGTCCTCCCTTCTGCGGACATTTTAACCCCTAAAACCCGGATCGGTGTCTCCTCAGGGACCCATGAGACCCGCTGTCCCTCCGGGGGGCGACCCCCCTGATGATGGAGCCACCATCCCAGTGTTTTTTGTCCCCAGTTTACAGACATATCAGAGAGGGAGCAGAATCGCTTCATTATCCTCTGAATTTCTTCCATATTCTTCTGCGTAGCATCAACCATGATCGTAAGATCGTCTGCAAACAGGGAACATACTGGAATCGCGTCCTCCGGGATGCCCGCTATGCGGATTCTCGCTAAGTCTTTGCTTTGCCGGAGGTTGGCTGCTAGTGCTTCCATTATGATAATGAATAGGAAGGGAGCAATGGGGTCACCCTGTCTTACCGAATGCTGTAGCTTTACTTCCGGAGCTAGAGACCCGTTTATCTGCACTCTCGTGGTTGCGTTCTGATGTAAGATGCCTACCCACCTCCTAAAGATAGGACCAAAGTTTAGTCTTGCAAGGCATGTGTCAAAAAATAACCAGTCGACATGATCGTAGGCTTTTTCAAAGTCAATGAAGATAAGTGATGCGTTGCTCTTAGATTGTTGTGCCAGGCTAATCATCTCATTGACCAGCAGTATATTTTCTTGAATGTTTCTGTTGCGGATGAACCCAGTCTCAGCAGGGTGA